CAAATTTTGAGAACCTGTAGATTAGGCCGTGATGTTTTTAGGAAAAATATAAAATAAAAACGAAAAATATTTTTGATCCTCAAATAGTTGTCGCACCGATTCGGTTCATTTTTCATTTTTGCAACTCCGCGATGTGTGGGCCAACAGAAAACGTACCCTAACTTCAGTGATTTTTCTAGCTTAGAAGAATGCGTTGCAAATCTTGAAAATCGTAGGGTCCAACCGTCCATAGACTAGGTTCTGATCTATGTAGCACCGTGTTCGCTTTCGGAGGCGAATGCGAATTTGCCCGAACGCGAACCAACGCCCAAAACCCTTCGAACGCGAAAAAAAACAACAACAATGAGTTCTCAGAAAAATAAAAAAATATATATATGTTATGTAAAAAAACAATACAAGCAACTTTTGCCCTAGAGTCATGCTCAAATTCATAGGAAATCATGATTTAAAAATAAAAAACTGAAAAAAAAAACAAGATAATTTTTTTTTATTTTTTTTTTATGAAAAAAATATATGTTCATCTGAGCATGTTCGCGAGCTGTTCGCACAAACGTGAAGGGGAGCGAACACGTTCGCCGTGCCACGCAGGTCCTAATCTTCGTACACAAAATATCTCAAAGAAATAAATGAAAAACATTGATGCTGAAATGGTCGCCATGCAAATTCGGAGCATTTTTCATTTTTAACTTTCTTCGACGTGTGGGCCAATGAAAAAAGTGTCCTAACTTCAGTGTTTTTTCACAGTCAAGAGAATGCCTTAAGAATCGTTCAAATTGGACCGACGTTGTGCAGTCCTTAGGACCGGATGCATTGGGTTTTTCGGTACCGGGTTTGTATCCTTTGTAGAGTAGAATGGTTACCATGTAGTTTTTTTGTGATGCATTTAGCATGGACCTTGTCGACTATGAATCCCCCCCCGAGGCGGCCATGCGCGGCCTAGGTTGTGACCCCGCGGCCATTTGAAAAAAAAAAAAAAAAAAAAAAAAAAAAAAAAAAAAAAGTTATGCAGAAAAATATATTGAACAACTTTTGCCTTGCGGTCATATCCAAAAACGTTACTGAATTTAAAATAAAAAATCACATAAGTGTCATGTTTTTTTCTTAAAAAATAAAAAATAGCTTTTGTCTCAGGAAAATTAGTTTTTGAATTTTTAAGATTCAAAGACGAAGTCTAAAAATCTAAATACAAAATTGCGCAATTTAGATCTCAAAAATAGCTACAACCTCATATTTTTAGTTTTTTTTTTTTAATGTTTTAAAGTCTAAAAACGTTCCTGAAAGTCGCGTCCGCACCCAACCGCGGCAGGAGCCGCGGCGGCCGTGATCATGATCGCCCTCCGAGCTCGACCCCGCGGACGCGTCCGGGGGTGTTTCGTAGTTTGTCGACCGATGTTTTCACTTTATGGTCTTGTCTGGCTCTGTTGTTTTTTTGCTGTTTTGGGGGGCTTGTTTTTTCGATATTGGACGCAGTGAACCCGACACACGCACGGATATAAAAGTAAATACGATGCCTGGTCAGGTCCTTTTGGGTCTAACGCGTGGTTTACACACGACATTTCAGAATGCGTGTGGTACGGTTAGTGGCAGATAATGGTGAGGCTAAGGGAGAAGATGGCGGATTCCCCCTGAAGAAGACAGCATGGCGGTTGTCGAAACCGGTTGGGGTGCCTTACCAATCGGCTGTTGCGTGTGTTTTTTACTTGTGTGTAATCATTTGAACATTTGTGTGTTTTGAGATTACGCACGTGTTGAATGACTCTTTGTCATTTCTTCATTCTGTCTTCAAATCTCAAATTAAATATTTCCAAGAAAACTATTCTTTTTTAATTAAAGAATCATTTCGATTGTCAAATAACTACCGCGCGAATTCAACATTTCTTTATTCCATTTGCATCTTCCGTGATTTTTTTAGATAAGAAGAATATAAGAAAAAATATATAAAATTCAAAATCCATAATTTTCGTTGTGATATTTTTAGGAAAAATATTTAAAACGAAAACTAAAAATTTGGCTGCAAAATGCATCACGATGGCGATTCGATATATTTTCCATTTTTGCCATTCGGCCGGTTTTCCATACTCTGCAAGGTGTGGGTTTGGACACAAAGACACATCCTGATGTGCCAACTGCCTGACATGAGATACACTTAAAAAAAAAAAAGTCCCCAGAATCACATAGGGACCCAATCTGCGTCAACTATTATCTCATAAGCCAGTTGGGTTTCTGAAATTTGTGCGTGGGTTCAAACCCCGACTACAACAGTTAGCTGCGAACTTCAAAATATCAGTAAATATCAGTATTAATGTGTTGGTGGGTGGGCAGGCGGGTGAGCGAGAGTGTGTGGGTGCGTGACTGTATCCTTTTTTTCTTTTAATATATATATATTTTTTGGGCCACAAAAAATGACATCCACGTAGGAAAGACGGGGAGGCACAAAATGAGAGTTGCGCGAGAAAGGACATAATACGACATGCGAGAAACGAAAACGAGCACAAAATGACAGTCGTGCGAGAAAGGATACAAAACAACACGCAAGAAACAAAAATGATAAACAAAAACACTAAAAAAGAATTGCGCGGGACAACAGGGGCACAAAATGGTAGCCACGCGAGAAACGAAAATGGAAAAAAAAACGCAAAACAACACGCGACTAATGAAAAAAAAAAAAAAGTGCGAGAAATGAATACAAAATAAAAAGAAATGCCACCCGCGCATCGGATGGCTCACCTCCAAGACGTTTGTTCCCATCAACGTCGGTCGTATGCCCCGCCCTGGGGGCGCGCTCTCATTTAGTCGCCCGCTAATAACATTTCGGTATGCGTGCCCCTTTGCACACTCCCCCGCCCTCGATCGGCTTCATCCACTGCCCCTCACCTGTGTAGCACACCGAACATGTTCGGAGCTTTTTCGAACGTCTGAACATGTTCGGGTGTTCGGCCGAACATATTAAAAAAAAAAAAAAAAAAAACTTTCTTTTTGGGTTTTTGATTTTTAACTCAAGTTGGGTTACGAATAAGATCATACCTCTTGGGCAAAAGTTGTTTGTATTACCATTTTACATAACATATATTGTTTTCAGATTTTTCTGAGAACTTTTTTTTTTTCCCTAAATATTTTTATGTTCTCGTTCGGAGGGTTTTGGCGCTCGTTTGTGTTCGATCACGAATGTTCGGGTTCCATTACCGAACCCGAACACGATGCTACACAACCCCTCACCAAAAATTCGACCCAAATCCGATGCACAATGCGTCATGGACTTCCCCCCGCGGCCAATCCTGCTTAAGGGATGAGAATTCAGTTTGTTTTTTTTTCGGTCGATTTAAGTTGGTTTGTCTGTATTTATGTTTCTCAAGTGTCTGTTCGTTGTTTGCTTCGTGTATGGACTGCCAGTCAATATCTGTAGGCACATGTCATGCGTGTTTATTTTTTTTTTTCTATTTTTTTTCATTTTTTTCGTTTTCTTTTTTTGATCATCTGTGATGACTCCTTTTTGTTGGCAGCGCCGATGTGGCCCTTGGATTCTGGGTGACTATCATGCAGGCTGGTGTTCGTGCTCGTGTGTCTCGCTCTCGTGGTCTTCTGCTCTCTCTCTCTCTCTCGCTATATATATATATATATATCGTCACAAACAGAACTGCCCGGTAAACCGTAGGCAGAGAGAGAGAAGAGGACAACAAACAAAGGGTTGTGACAAACTGTTTCGTCATATATATATATTAGTCGGTGAAACTCCGACGAAACAGTTTGTCACAGCCCCTCGTTTGTTGTCCTCTTCTCCCTCTCTGCCTACGGTTTACCGGGCAGTTCTATTTGACGATATATATATATACAGGGTTGCCGGCGTTCGGGACGGGCCAAACGCCCACACCCGAACGCCCGAACGTACGGGACCCCTTCGGAAGGCGTTCGGCCGTTCGGGACGAACGCGGACCAAAAAAAAAAAAAAAAAAAAAAAAACAAGTTTTCCAAAAATTCCCCAAAAAAACTATGTTATGGAGACAAATAAACTAAACAACATTTGCCTGGGCACTACATCCAAATTCTTTACAAAATTTGATTTAAAAATCAAATACAGAAAATAAACACTACGATATGCGAGGAAGATGAGCATTAGCGAACTCCAGCAATCAAACAGCATCATACATATGAGTCCAGATAATCTTGACCTCGAACCAACAGCAGAAATGCATCACGAGATTCACCAAATAAGATCATACCAATAGTTCGTAATCGACAATGCTGAAATAGTCTCTCATCATCATCAACGAAGAACAAGAGTTAATATCCTATTGGCGCTCGGCGCCCAGACTACATGTGGCAGATCCTATCTAGCCTAATACTACAATGCCGATGTTGACAAAAACAGCTTAATGAAGTACGAGCATACAGCGGACAATGCCGCACGCTTCCAGCACCAGGTATGTCTCTCGAACACTCACAACCCCGATCCACACCACACAAATGTCACTAGCACCCAAGGACCACCCTGCGTCACACCCAGCACACAGCGGGGCAGCTCGGCTATGGTTGCCCGCTACTTCCTGCTCGCCCGTGAGAGGGTGAGTGCCAGCCAGCCAGCAAATAGCGCAACAGCGCTCGCGCAGCATGCAACCAGCACCCGAATGCCAAATGCGGAGGCAGGCCCATTGCTATATGGAAGTGGCCTGCCCGTGTTCTGCCCAGACGGTGTTTGGCCTTTCCCAAGAAGATTCCGGTAGGCCCCGGTAGGCACAGGCCCAGACCTCACACGCAGGCCCAGGGCCTGATGGTTGCATATGCCCAACTGCCCTTGGCCTGCTTACGGCCTTCCTCACGCGTCTAGCCTAGGTCACCGTTCAGATACATTTGCAAAATATGGCCTGGGCCTGGGCGCTTTCAACCAACTGGCGCAGTGCAACTGTCTGAATTTCCCCAGTTGCGGGGTACCCTGAAAAGCGAGGCCCTGAGGGCCTGTCGCGCCTGCCTTCACTTAGGGCGGCCGACGTGCTGCAAAAAGGGCCCCAAAAAGGGCTGAGCGGGCGTAGCCTCGCATTCCCTCCTCCATATCTTCGTTAGTCCTCTAAGAAGATCAATCCTGAGCCATCTGGCGCTTTCCTTTCAATACATCCTTCTCATAGCGGGCAACGATTTGAGGAGCGGTTTGCATCAATTCCTCCCAAGTAAACCAGCGGTCCTCCTTCGGATCCGTGTGATGTCTGAAGTGGACACGAAACTGCAGCTTTGGCTTTGGAGGACATTCCCTTCCTGGAGGCTTCTGAATGGGCATCTCCCTGTGGTCGACGATATCATCGATGTTGACTTCTCCATCCATGGTTGGGGGCAACATTGACCGACGAGAGGGAAACTGATTAGTTTCCTTGGATGCAGCGAGCTTAGAGGCGTGAAAGACTGGGTAAGTTCTGAGATGACCAGGGATACGGATGACATAAGATGGACCATCAGGATCTGTCCCTACTACGTTTAAAATTTCCCAAGGTCCAAAGTACTGAGGCATGAGTTTGCGGGATATCCCGAACTCCTGTCCCAGTTCTGAAGACTTGACCCAGACTCTGTTCCCAACCTGAAATGTAGAAGGGCGGCGGTGTTTATTCTCAGATTCTATCATTGCTCCCTGCGCCTTCTGCATGTGCTCTACAGCCTTGTGCATTTTCTGTTCGTAACGATAAGCGAACTCCAAAGTGCCCGGTGTGACAGTTGGCTGGTTATCAGGAAGTAGGAAGTCTAAAGGCAATCTAGGCCTAAAGGTAAGATGTAGACTGTTAGTAGAGCTGTGTACAGCGTTATTGTACAGACTGGCGACAAGAGAAAGCTTCTCGTCCCTGTCCACCTGATTTGGCTTAATGTAATGCCTCAACAACTGTTGAACAGCGCGGTTCATTTGTTCAGCCTGGTCGTTTGCTTCTGGATGGTTTCTAGAAGTCATTTGCAGTTGAGTTCCCTGTTCAGCTGCAGCGGCTTTCCATAACTCACTTGTAAATCTGACATCCCTGTCACTTACAATAGACTCCCTGTCACTTACAATAGACTTAGGCAATCCAGAATCCCTCACCCAGTTCTCCTTGATCAGCCTGATTACATACTCGGTCTTCGCTGTTTCCGGCATGGCTATTAACCTAGCATACTTACTAAACCTATCCACGATGACGAAGATCTGCCTCATCCCACTCTTGCTGGTGACCAGTGTATCCATGAAGTCCATGGACAAGCTTTCACCCGGCCTTTCCAGAATCGGAAGGGGCTTGAGTAGCCCAAGCGGAGCCTGAGTACGGGGCTTGTCTCGTTGGCAAACTTGACAAGTTTCCACGTACAGCTTAGCATCTTTTAACATCGTGGGCCACCAGAACCTTTGCAGCAAATTGGCTGCGGTCTTCTTGTACCCAAAATGGCCGGTGGAGTCATGACACTCGCCTAAAAACAAACTACGCAAAGACTCTTTATTAGGGACACACAAACATTTATTCCCTTCCTTCTCGAGAAACAGCAAGCCATTGACCAACTCAAACTTGGCTGAAGTTTGTTTATCCTTCGCCTCGAGTCTGCGTATGATCTCAGCCATAAACTGGTCCTCTCGATAGGCTTCCACCAAGGATCGAGTGACATTATCCGTAAGATCGTACTCAGTAATCAGCACACCTGAGAAGTCAGGTCTACGCGACAAGGCATCAACAACCTTGTTGTACTCACCCTTAATGTACTGAGGGTCGAAGTCATACTGCTCAATGACTTCTATCCAACGCTTCAATGCGTCAGAGAGTACAGGTTGGGTTCTCATCCATCTCAAGGTCTGATGATCAGTCCTGAGGATGAAGAACCTCCCAAGGAGATAGTGTCTCCAATGGGTCAGCGCCTTGAACACCGCATAGAGTTCTTTCTCATAGGTGGACTTAGCAAACTTCTGAGACGGCATTTTCTTGGACATGTACTCAATAGGCCTTAACTTTGGCCCCTCCTGCTGCGCAAGCACGGCGCCAATGCCATATTGGCTAGCATCCGTGGTTACTATAAACGGCTTATCAGGATCGGGAAGTTTCAAGACTTCATAATGCGTTAGTGCATGCTTCAGATGTCTGAAAGCAGCCTTGCACTCCTCTGTCCACTCCCACGGGGTATCAAGGCGGGTCAAATCAGTCAAAGGAGCGGCCACTACGCTATAGTTCTTTACAAAAGTCCGGTAGTAGCCTGTCATTCCTAAGAAAGATCTCATCTCAGTCACAGACTGAGGTCGTGGCCAATCGCGAATGCTGGCCACCTTCGCGTCATCGGGCTTCAACCCTTCCGCGGAGATCTCATGACCCAAGTACAAGACACGGGTGCGCCCAAACTCGCACTTCTCACCATTGATCTTGAACTTGTGCTGTCGCAGGAGACTAAGGACTTTGTCCACGTGTGCAACGTGCTCTTCGACAGTCTTACTAAAAATAAGTATGTCATCGAGGTACGCTATGACAAACTTATCCAAGTAGTCATGGAATATCCGATTCATAGCGTGCTGAAAGGTGCCCGGAGCATTGCACAGGCCAAAAGGCATCACCACAAACTCGTACAGGTCGTACCTGGTCTGAAATGCGGTTTTGTGTTGATCCTCGGGCCGGATTGCAATCTGATGGTACCCGGACTTCAGATCTATCTTACTGAAGTTCCGACACCCTTGCACTCTATCTAACAAATCGTCGATGCGCGGTAGGGGCTCTCTGTTCTTTACAGTGATGGCATTGAGACCCCTATAATCAATGCACATCCTGAGAGTGCCCTCCTTCTTCTGAGGTACGAATAGTACTGGAGATCCGGAAGGAGAGACACTCGGCCGGATCCAACCCTTCTCTACGAGTTCCTTGAGTTGGCGGCGAAGCTCATCAAGCTCGCCTGGAGACATCCGATGGATCCTACCCCTCGGAATACTAGACCCTGGGATAATCTCTATCGCGTGGACGACTTCCCTATCAACAACCCCTGTTGGCTCTTCAAATAGATCAGGGTACTTGGCAACTACTCCCTCTATCTCCGGCAGCATTTTCACCAGATCGCCTGCAGCAGAGACATAAACTAAGTACATACCCTCCTCCTGATGTTGCTTATAGTAGTTATAAGACGCGGCCGCACACATGCATCCATGAGAATCGATCAGACTACTAGCTTTGAACTTGTGTAATCTGGCGGTCCCTCCACCTGGCAAAGTGTGCTTAACCACTTTTCGGTCCCAGTCAAACTGAGGCTGTGCCACAGAGAGGTAGTACATACCTAACAAAATATCCATAGGGAGATCGTTGCTCACTAGGAATGAGACACGATGCCTCAACTCCCCTCCCGCGAACGGGAACAGGCATTCTACATCCTGAAGGTAGTCATTAACTACCATGCGCTGTTTGTTGGCACAGGTCGACTCCACAGGTCGACTCAGGCGCTGCACTTGCCCCTGTAAACGCAGCCTCTCAACGCACGCGTGACTAATAAAGTTCCTTGTCGAGCAAGTGTCATAATAGGCCCCGGCCTTGCGGCCGCCTACGACTATCTCGCTGACGAACATCTCTCCCTTCGGGGCTTTAGCTAGTGCCGTCCAAGAAGCTAGGCGGGTCTAATCTAGACCACTCCTCCTCTAGCTCCTCCAAGGACTCAAACACATTCATCGAGCAAAGGGTCGATGGGTCTAAATGCATTTGCGGAACGATAAGGGAATCAGTAGCTTGGGCTATGATGCGAGATGGCGAGGGTGTCTCCACCACCTCGTCCCTAGTAGGAACAGCTACTATTCGTACTGGCGCGACGTGTTTCCCGGAGCAGTGCCTGATGAACTGGCAACATTGCTACCTACGGGAGATGAGGATCCTACCGCCTGCCCCATAGTAGGCGGGATCTTATCGGTGACCTTCTTGTTCCTACATTTGAACTGGTTATGGCCGTATTCACCACAACGGATACAGGCCTGACGGTTCCACCGATCTCTCCACACGTCCTCTGAAAGACCCGCTTTCTCCCATGGAGGAGCATTGGGGTCAACTTGATTCCTAGACCGGGAGCCCCCTGGGCGTCTACCGGTCCCCTTACCTTTTTGTTGGGTTACGGCGGCGACTACTCCACCCTCTGAAGTATCGCCACCTGCCTCTGCACCTAATCCTATCTGGGAGTCGTCGTCCAACTCAATGGTTGATCCATCGTGGTCGACGAACATAATGCGGCCCTTGGCTTTCCAGTTAGGAGGCAGGGTCTTCTTTTTCCCGTCCGTCACTGAGTTATGTCCATGCCCTGTTTTTGCTTCAAGGTCTAGGGCTACCTTGCTAAACGAAGGAAAGTTGTGCATATTGATGTTGGCCTCTTTTGCCAAATGGTTCCTGAGAGGCTGGGATAAGCACCTCAAGTACGAAGTCAACAGGACCTGGGGGTCATAGTGCACCCCTGGAACACAGATCAGACGCTCTACAACATCTGTGGCTTCCCTTACTGACTTATACTGCCTCATGTGCAGTGTCAGGATCGCATCAGTGGCCTTTTGGGCCTCCTGAGGATCATGCCATCTTTCTTCCACCATCTTCAGGAAGTCCTCCAATTTCTGAGAGGCTGCCCAAGAGCGGAAGTCATGACCGTGCCCCTGGAGTTGTACTAACCCACTCAACCATCTTGCTGCACTACCCTCTAGGTAGGATTCAGCCACAAGCACTTCTTCATGTGGCAAGATGAGTTTACACCTGACATAGACCGGCACTGCCCTCAACCAAGTGTCGAGGTCTTCGCCTCTCTTGTCCCCTGTAAAGGGTTTGGGAGCGGCGATGATCGTCTTTGGAACCCACTGACTTTGTCCTGGTCCCTGCACCAACCCGGGCTGTGGACCCGGTGATACAGGTTGTTGTGCTAACTGCTGGGGTTGTGTGCCCTGTGGCTGCACAGACTGCGAGACAATAGATTGCCCACTAATGGCAACCTGTGATGGAACCTGGGTGACCACCGACTGTACTGGAACCTAAACACTAGGACCTGCTGATAGCCCTCCTAAGAGCGGCATGCCTAGGGAAACGACAGCAACCGTCGATGGGGCTACAAATGGGGATACCCCAGTGACCGGTGGGACAGAAAAGGGAGGATATGGCACAGGCCAGGCACCCGGCCCTGCCGGTGATGGCGCTGCCTGAGAACGCCCTACCAAAATGGCTAGGCTCTGCTGGATGTCTTGAAGGATGGTAGTCTGATGCTCCTGCATCTCTATTACCCCTAGCAGGGCCCTCCTAACTACCCTCACGTCATCATCCATGTTCATCAGGTCCATCGCTTCTAACTCCTCTATGTCTGCCCCTCTTCGTTCCATCCCGGTTCTTCTTCTAATCGTCATTTCCTTCTCTCTTTTTATCTGTCCTAATGCCTGCTGTAGTTGTGCCTCTTGCAGAGCTGCCTGCTGGATGGCGACATCCTCTGGGGTCAACATCGCGGGCTGGCTTGCCATTAAGCCAGTGGACTGACTCACGGTCTGCGCGACCGTGGACCCGGCGGTACCTGAACTACTGGCTTGGGAAGTCTGCTGCGCAGACGTGCTCATGGCTGCTGTAGCACCGACCTCGCTAGCTAATGTCGTGCCTCTCCCGCTGTCGGCGGAACAGTTTCCTATCACCCTCCGGTCCCAAGGACACGTGAGTTATCGGGCCTCTAGCTGATCGCAAGATCCTGCGGTCGTCCTCTCCGGTGTCCCCTGTGTCGCTCATAGGCTAGAACACTGTGCGCTGTCTACACTAGATCATTCTAGATGCCTACGATAGCATAGTGCACAAACCAAATAATTGATGGTGGCTACTTTTGGAACAGATCTCATTTGGGGTCAGCAGATGATTCAGACTCCTACAACTGAAACTATTTTTAATATGACTAGTTCGCAAACAGAAGCACCAGGAACAATCAATAGTTCTAACTAATGCTGTCTGTCAGAGGTCAATGGCAGTCCGTCTAACTAATCAAAACATAAAAATAGAATCACTTGTGTGGATAGGACAGCATGGTATTTTCTCGAACTTGTCACCTGGAATCAACCCCTCCCTCTAATCTACACTTGAGTATCTCTTGCCGTCAGCGTCCTGAGCAATCGGGTAGCATGCGTGACTGAAGGTGTGCAATCCGGTCCCACCCCTGTGCCCCAGGTTATCGTCGAGCAAGGCAACCACAACACTCTTATTTATCCTCGTACGCTGACGAGCCTTACACTCGGTTGATCTGGCTGATCAAGTTGGAATTTGGCGTCCGCCCCCCAGTGACTCCAGGAATTATTTTACGTCGCAGCCGGACGACGATCACAGCCAGATTCAGAGCCGAGTCCCCAACCAGAAATGTTTATAGACGGTCTGGTAAGCGTCTCAAGAGGCTGCCACACCCGAGTTAACCTCTATCTGTGCAAGCAGCAGAACCAAAGACTTGCAGCGAAGCATGCATGTACTACACCCAGTGGGTTGGCATGGTGACCGTGACCCAGTGCTTCGTCCAGGGCCCTTCAGAAAGCAACGCCCTCTTCCCCCTGATGCTCCACAGGAAGTATGCCGACTCTCAAGGTTGAGCGCACTCGACACCTCACGATGAGAGGACTCTCAAGTTGGATCACACAACCTCACGGTAAGAAGTGTTGGAGAGGGTATATAAGGTTGGGAGTAACGTACCTCAATATTGTTGCCCCCAACCACAGAGATAATCTTACCAGATGACCCAATGGCAATTGCGATAACTAGTCATTGCATCGGCACAACCAGCATTATCCGTCGTTCCACCTCAGCATCAATCGCACAATAGATAGTTCTCATCACGCTGTCCAGACCACATACACTTCACATAGCCTTCCTGGCGAACCCCTCACCTCCTGGGTCGCCTTCACACTCGTCTCCACCCTCCTCACTACACACCACTTACGRCCAAACTCGCCCAGCAGACCGCATGTATGTACCGCATAAGTCAGAAGACMAGCGCCAGATGAGCGCAATCGTACCACAGTTCCGATACCAAATTGCAAGGAAGATGAGCATTAGCGAACTCCARCAATCAAACAGCATCATACATACGAGTCCAGATAATCTTATCCTCGAACCAACAGCAGAAATGCATCACGAGATTCACCAAATAAGATCACACCAATAGTTCGTAATTGACAATGCTGAAATAGTCTCTCATCATCATCAACGAAGAACAAGAGTYGATATCCTATTGGCGCTCGGCCCCCAGACTACATGTGGCAGATCCTATCTAGCCTAATACTACAATGCCGATGTTGACAAAAACAGCTTCCTGAAGTACGAGCATACAGCGGACAATGCTGCACGCTTCCAGCACCAGGTATGTCTCTCGCAACACTCACAACCCCGATCCACACCACACAGATCCCACTAGCACCCAAGGACCACCCTGTGTCACACCCAGCACACAGCGGAGCAGCTCGACTATGGCTGCCTGCTACTTCTTGCTCGCCCGTGAGAGCGTGAGTGCCAGCCAGCCAGCAAATAGCGCAACAGCGCTCGCGCAGCATGCAGCCAGCACCCGAATGCCAAATGCGGAGGCAGGCCCATTGCTATATGGAAGTGGCATGCCCGTGTTCTGCCCAGACGGTGTTTGGCCTTTCCCAAGAAGATTCCGGTAGGCCCCGGTAGGCACAGGCCCCGACCTCACACGCAGGCCCAGGGCCTAATGGTTGCGTATGCCCAACTGCCCTTGGCCTGCTTACGGCCTTCCTCACGCGTCTGGCCCAGGTCACCGTTCAGATACATTTGCAAAATATGGCCTGGGCCTGGGCGCTTTCAACCAACTGGCGCAGCGCAACTGTCTGAATTTCCCCAGTTGCGGGGTACTCTGAAAATCGAGGCCCTGAGGGCCTGTCGCGCCTGCCTTCACTTAGGGCGGCCGACGTGCTGCAAAAAGGGCCCCAAAAAGGGTTGAGCGGGCGTAGCCTCGCAGATAAAAATAAGAAAAAATAAAAAGAGAATTAAAATGAGTGAGTGTGCCAGCACTTTTTCAACACCGCCATCTTTGCCGATTTTTAATTATTTTTTGGCATTGACAAATGCCCTGAAAATTTTCATATATGTTGTTTACACAATCAATAACTCGTTAAAATGTTTTCAAAAAATAATAAATTTTTTTAGGCCCCGAAATAAAGTGAAAACAAAAAGTTAAAAGCGAAGAAAAACAAAATAGTGAGTGGGCGAGCACGTTTTGACACCCCCATCTTTGACGATTTTTAATGTTTTTTTTGGCTTAGCAGAATGTCTTCAAAATTTATAGGCGTGTAGGTTACATCATAGAGAACTCACAAAAAAACATTCAGAAAACAAAACTTATTTTTAGGCCCCGAAATGTTTTTTGGCGGGGGCCAAACCTGGAGGTGTTCGGCCCCCGAATGGGACTATTGGCCGAGGGGGGGAAGTCGGTCATCCGCTGCGTACGCGCCACTAAACGAGAGAGCGCGCCCACAAGGATGCATACACGGCGGGCATCGATGCGGATGAATATTTCGACGCGCCCGCCGTCGGATAGCATTTTCGTGTCGGTTTGTGTCCGGCCCCCTTTTTTTTTTTTTCCGTATTCTAACAGAAAAAATAATTTATCATTTTGTTTCGTATTTTTCGTTCTGGCGTGTCGTTTTGTTTTCTTTTTTTGCCTTTTGTTTTCGTTTTGTTTCCTAAACAAAAAAAAGACTTTCCGTTTTTTTTTCCCCATGAATTTGCATTTTTTTTGCGTCAGTCCAAAAAAATACAAACAAAAAATGAAAAACAAAAAACAAAAGACAAAAAAAGACACATTTGTTTTGCAATTTTTTTGGGTCGGAACGAACTTTCGGCTAGAACGGAACCAGATGCAAGCACACCAGTGTTTAGAGCTTGGTCCGAGGTGCGGACGGTCCGTGGTCATCGCCATACCATTGTCGAAATGTGGGAAAACGTGGTGGGCGCATCTGACCATGTTCTAGCGGGAAGAATTCTCATTTTGCACATTTCGGGTGTGGTGTGGCGATGCCCTCTTTATGTTTTTCTCTCTCTCTCTCTCTCTCTCTCTCTCTCTCTCTCTCTCTCTCTCTCTCTCTCGCTCGCTCGCTCTCGCTCTCGCTCTCGCTCTCGCTCTCTTTCTCTCTCTCTCGCTCTCTCTCACACACACACAAACACATACATGGGACAAAGTTTGCCTGTCTGTCTGTTAGTGTGCGGGTGTGTCAGAGAGAGAGAGTGAGCAAGAGTGTGTGTGTGTGTGTGCGCGTGCGTGGGTGTGACAGAGAGTGTGTGGGCAAGAGTTTGTATGTGTGTGCTCGTGGGTGTGTGGCAGAGGGAAACTGCGGTCAAGACTCTGCCACGGCCAGTGGCACGAGCCGAGACAAGGGTGCGCCGTGTAGCTATGGCG